TATTTCACTTTTACTTCATTCCTGAAACGATTCAACAGTACAAATTCCCGTTAAGAGATCAATGATTGGCTGGGATTAGGAGGGACTGAAGAGAGCAACAGGAGTGATCCTCCTAGTGATGCAGCTGTTGTTTGTGTTTCTTGACTAGATCCCTGTCAACATCCTGGTTGTGATATTGTACTGTAGTTTTGCAAAACGTTACCTTTGGTACGTAGGAACGAAAGCTAACATAATTTACATAGCAAATTGTCTAAAAGTAAAATTTAATTATAAAATTAAAAAATGGTGTTTTATTAAATGTATTACTCATGTTATAAGAAATAGTGATTAAGAAAAACAAATAATTTATGCAGATTTGCCTTCAGTTTTCTAGAAATACTGCTTTTATTTTGCACTTGGTTTTTGGTACTTCTTTGTTTTGTATTCGTGAAGTTGGCTCTCTAGAAATGACCAGCTTTGCCACAAGAGCCAAGAGTAATGGTTGAGCTGAAATTTCTCTCTAGAATAGTGCCTTTGACTGTTATAATGTCTGAGACTAATAAATATGTTTTTAACTTAACAAATGAACTAAATATTGGTGTCCCTTTTTTTGAGAGGGGCTTCCCTGATAGCTCAGTTGGTTTAGAATCCTCCTGCAATGTGAGAGACCTGGGTTTGATCCCTGGGTTGGAAAGATCCCCTGGAGAATGGAAAGGCTACCCACTCTAGCATTCCATGGACTATACAGTCGGACAAAGTCACAGAGTCGGAAACGACTGAGCAGCTTTGACTTGGAACTTCACTTTTTTGAGAAGTCTTGGTGCCTTGCATGGCCGAACTTAGCTAATGCTTGCTCTAGTCATGAAATACATGTAATTAACTGCCAATGAGACTATAAAAAGTATGTGACTTACAAGCTGTCATTTTTGCACCCCAGTATGTGAGACAAATCTACAACCTCAATCCTCGCAACAGAGAAAATTAAAAATGCAAAATTCCCCACATTTATAACCAGGACTGTTGCTCAGAACTAACAAACAGTGACTATGAGGATGCAATGCAATCTGTTCTGTATGAATGACTCTTTTAGTATTATGATAACGTTGGCAGTATTGCCCTACTATGTTTAGTTTTAGGGATTTATAATATCATTCAAGAGAGAGGAAAAGTAATAGGCTTTGGGTCAGCTAAATTTGGAAACACTTTAGCCTCGGAAGCACCTTTTCCACCCTTATGGATCTCCTACTTAATGCCTTAGAATGTAAATGTTTATCATGGATAACTATTACACTTTTACCTTCAAGCACACTTCACAAAGGGCTCCCCAGGTGGCTCAGTGGTAAAGGATCCACCTGCCAGTGCGGGAGATGCATGTTCAATGCCTGGGTCAGGAGGATCCCCTGGAGAAGGAAATGACAACCCACTCCAGTATTCTTGCTTGGACTAAACGTGCACACACACGCTCTCTCTGTCAAGGAAAGAAAGACTGCGGAAAGAATGATTATAACCTTTTTTCTCAAATGCTTTTCTCATTAGCTTCTCTAAAATGTCTTTCTAAGGCATCTTGGGGCTGGCCATAATTAGGTTACTTGTGTGCACCCGTGTGCTGCTCATGGTGCCAGCATAGAGCGGTCATAGCAAGCGCCGGGGCGGCCTGCTTCCTCCTGCGGCAGCTGAGCTGCTCTCAAGCCTGGCTCTGCAGTCAGTCTGGGTTGCCAGCTGTGTGAACAGAACATCCCATGATTCCTCTGGTGTGAAAGGGAATTGGGTTATTTATGTAAGCTTCTGTAAAAGTAAATACAATTTTCAACCCTCGAGAAACTGTTAAACAGGAAAAAAGGATGAAAGAATGGATACTTCTGACCGACAGAGAAGGCTTGAGAGAAAGAGAAGATGTCTGTGACTGCGCAAAACGCCATCTCCAGGCTCTCAAACGGCTAATCAGCAACAGGAGACTATTCGTTGAAGAGCTACAAGTTTTGAAAGGAAAAAACCCTTCCTCAAAGCAGCTGTACACATATGGCATATCCATGTGAAGACTGTATGACATAGTTTGGTTAATAAATGAAAATTGTAATTTCATTTAGTTATGTGTTTTTAGTTCTTTATTTTTAAAAGGCAGTGGAAAGAAGGGAGGAAAATCATAAAGAAGGAATAAAGCAAGGAATAAAGAAAATGTCTATTTATCCCATGTAAAGATACTGCTAGTTTTGGGGGTTTTTTTCCTGCTGTATCAATAGCAAAATTCATTCACAGTTAATTTCACCTGGTCAAATGGCTGGTTAGAAATAGTACAGATCATTTTAGAATTATGTGATGCAAAAGGATTGAACTTCACTACATGGTTTATTTTTAACCATTATCATGTGCTTCCTGACAATATGCTTTGGTGAAACTGGTTTTGACCCCACATAATGTAAGTTTGATTATCTGGCTTGAGCAACTCTTGACTTGTTCAAAAAGTGATTCACTTCCAAATGATAATTATATCCAGGTATTAATAAAGTAGTGGTAATCTAAGAAATTTTATTCCAGATATAACTAGAAATTAGTACTGCTTCTCCACTTGTACCTGAAATTTCTACCTCTGTAGCCGTACCATTATTTGAACGTACACATGGAACTCTGCTCAGCATTATATGGCAGCCTGGATGGGAGGCAATTTGGGGGAGAATGGATACATGTGTGTGTGTGGCTGACTCCCTTTGCCGTTTACCTGAAACTCTCACAACATTGTTAACTGGGCATACCCCAATACAAAATAAAAAAGTTTTTAAACAATTAAATAGAAAAAGCCCCACAGATTGTGTTATAGCCACTCAATGAGGTATCTATGCAACTATGTCATATAAGAAAATCAGTGAGTTATCACCCATGATGTGGTTTTCCTCACTGTGCTGAATGACTATGAGCAGAAGACTCATCATTGAGCCAAACTTTTGATTTTCTTTGGCAAAATAAATTTAAATAAAGGTAGCAGGCAAATTAAAAACAGGTGACTGAGGTGTAAGCACACAGCAATCTTCATCTCCTTATCTTTGTCACTCTGAATTTATGGATGAAGCAAGTGATCTCTGATATTGCCAAATTGAAGAATACTTGTCACACAATTAAAGTTACAAGAGAATTGCACATTAGTCGTTTTGTTTCAAACATATATAGGTATACTGAGCTTTGATGATTTTGTTTTAGACATTTATAGTATACTGAGCTTTGATGAAAATGTTTATCCAAAAAGAGGGAAGAATGCCTAGCACATGGCATAGTAACTGCTCAAAACCAATTTTATGAAAGACCATCTACTATTTGCCAAGTCTGTGCGGGATGCAAAGACTTTTAAAATATGGTTCCTGTTTGGAAATGTTGATGAGAAAGAAATTCTGCATACTAAAGAAAGGGCAGATACTCGAGTTTGTTAATAAAAATAAAATAGGCTGCATCCTTAAATTCAAAGGTGATACTGAGAGAAATGAGGTAAGAGGGATGCTTCAGCATGTTTGCATTCCGTGTGCTCAGGAAACAAAAGAGGCACGGAGCTGAGCGGAAGTGGCCACGCTCCCAGGTGCCTGGAATATGGGCCCCCTTCTCATGTTCGTGAGAATAGAAAATACATATTTTACAAATGATAGCCCACAATTATGGGTGAATAAAAGCCTCTCTTTCCCTACTTCGGAGAAATTTCTGGAGAGGGATTCAGAATAGATTTTAATAGTGGGCCAAGGATGGTATCTTAAGGGGATGAAATTGGATTGTAAAGAATGGACATTCTACTAAGCCTATGGGCTTGGGAATTTCATGAGTACTACAGACTCCCTTTGTGGATTATTGTAGCTTGTGTGACAACCTGTGTCCTACTGTAACCACATTTTCCTTATGGTGGTCATCACTGCATCAGGATCATACTAAGGACAAGTCACGATATTAATAGATGTCATGATCCTTTTGTGGTGACTTTTGAAAAGCATGTCCTATGAGTTGGTTGCTTTTCCTGGCCTCCGTTGCGCCCAGTGAAAGCCAAGCTACCCTAAGTGATTGTATAAATAGGGAGAATTTACCATCTATGGGGGTGAGTTGGGGGAGTCAGGGGGCTTATGTGAAATAAATAGAAGGAAGAACAGTACGTGAGTTTTACATGTGTGTAAAACTTATCTTGCAGTAAACAATGAGTACATTTAAATTCAAAAGACAGAAACTTTGGTTTCTCTCTGAATGTTTAGCTCTCTGAAAAATTTAAAGGATTAATTTGAGGAACTAGTAGATTATCTTATTAGAAGTTCTAGCTGTACCTTTTTTTAAAATTTTAAACTTTTCCTTTTGTATCAGAGTGTAGCCGATCAACAATGTTGTGGTAGTTTCAGGGGAACAGTGAAGGGACTCAGCTATACATATACATGCATCCATTCTCCCCCATCTAGCTTTACATTTTTGACTGATGACTTGTTAAATGGATTTTGGTGACTTGACTTTAGAAGTAGCATAATAAAAAAAAACTGTTTGGACAGATCAGCTGGGGAGTGCTATATAGAAATTCCCCAGAAAAAAAGGGTGAGCAGAGGCAAGGAGACCACTTATTCATCTCCTGAAGACCTGCTAGGATGATCGCAAAGGGAATGCAAGGGAGAGACTCTCAGAGGTAGAAGGGCCCAGAGCCTGTTAGCTTTGGACATACAGAGACAGAGCAGTTATGAACGTTTAGCTTTCACATGGCAATATGCAGATTATTTTACCTTTATTTAATATTCTCAACCTTTTTGTATAGTATAGGTATTATCATCTTTGCAAGTTAATTAATTTGCTTAAGATCACACAGTTAATAATTATCAGAATCAGAACTTAAACCTAGGATCTCTGTGAACCCAAGCCCTGCTAATAAAGGATTCTGACTCATCAGAGGCTAAAATAGTGTTGCTCACATTTTAATTTACGAGACAGATGCGTATTCAATGCCTGGCTTAAAGTTGATTGTTGGCATACATATAACACAAACTCTTTTCTCTTTTTCCTTTTTTCTTCTGTTTCAGTGCGACTTCATGACAGCATATCAGAAGAGGGCTTCCATTACTTGGTGTTTGATTTGTAAGTACAGCATCCTTTGTGTTTGGTGTTTGTTTGTTTGTTTGTTTTTGCTATGTATTTGAAGATTTTGATTTAAAGATCATTTTTTCTCCAAGTAGGAGTCCAAATTAATGACCTGGTAATATTTTCAAATGTAATTCTTTTGAAAAAAAGGTGAATACTCAGCATCGTTTATTTAAAATTGAAGTTAATCCCTCCTGAGGGAAATAGTTATGAGTGTTTCCTTTGGGATTGTTCATTGTGATCTCATAAGTAGTTCTCAGTTTACAATGTACAATGTAAACCGAGTGTACAGTGATGCACCTCAGTGTACATAAACATAATTTTCCATTGAATTTTTGAAAGTATTTGTAACTAATTATCTTACATAAAAAAAAGACTCAAGAACCCTTGAGGTGGGTTACTTCAGGGGTTCAACAATATCATCAAACTCCCATCTTTTACCCCAGCTCACTGTCTTTGTTCTCAGACTGGCGTGGTTCAACTTACTGCTTGCAGACATGGTAATTTATACTGGAAGATATTGTACTTTTTTTTTTAAGAATAAACAATTCATCTAGTAACGCTTCCATTTTTCACATCATTGGCCAGGACTGGGTCATATGCCTGCCCCTCACCAGTCACTGGCAAGAATGGAAACACCGAGATTTACTTAGACTAAGATTTAGAGACCAAGGCTCTGTCAATAGGAATGAAGGGAAAACCATGCTCTTGGGGAGCAGTCCATAGCATCTCTCCTAGCTGAATGGGATATAGTGAGACAGGCCATACACAATACTTCTCTGGGTTAAATAAGAATACACTTTCTGAAAATCAGATTGATACTTCATATAAAAAATGTCCATATTGTATAACTTAGTAATTTTGGTTCTTGGAACAATGTCCATGGAAACTGTAACTCTAAATTCAGATAAATTTTATGCTTGAAAGATGTTTATTGCATTGTTCTTTATAGGAAGCTGGGAGGAGGGGGAAGAAAACCAACTTAAGGATCCAATAATGGAGAATCAGTTTTCTTGATTACAGTGCATTCATACAATGGACTACTCTCGAGCATTTATTATGATATTTGGGGAATAGAAAGAAAAAAATACTGTTTTACCTGAAATGTGTCTAATGACAGGTTAATACTAGGTTTGGTTAATTCAGCCTTCCAGTGATGTCTTTAAGAAATCAGGTTCATTCCACCTTTCAGTCTGTTCTTTGTAGTATGTGGGTTTATCCTCACTCTCAGATACCTCTTAGTTCTCACGTTCAGTGCCTCATTTCAGCTCTCATGGTGACTTCCAAAGGCGGGAAAAAAGAGGGAATATTAATCCCATTGGTGTATTTTTATTTACAGGGAAAACCTTTCCCAGCAGCCCCTCAGAAGATATCTGATAGTGCATCACTGGTTAGAATTGCTTCTGACGCACATACCTGAACCAAGTAATAGTAAAGGAGATAGAATAACAGCAGTTGGCACTGACCAGCCGTAATTTCAGTCCATAGCGGGAAGGGGAGGCTTGCCTATTGGATAGGAAACCAGACATGTCTGCTGTTACTATGAAATGTGTTGCAATTATTCTTCACTGTTTAAAGTTTAAGAGGAGAGTTATCAACAGTTTTCATCAAAATGCTTTTCCAGTAACTAAGATTAATAACCTAGTTAAACACAGTCTAGTAAATAGCATCAAGCTTTAGAGACAATTGGAAAATAGTGGTTAAAAGTATAGATGTTCAGTGAGTAAAAAGAGATTATAACAGATATAAATAAATAATCCTTTATTTAATTGTGGTGGTAGTCTAGGGAGAAGAAAAGTAAGTGACTTTAGAAAAATAAAATGCACATTTAAAACATAGTTAAGAAAAGTATGATCTTAAAGATATCAATGAAATACTTACGGAAAAACTGGAAGTTCCTTTGCCAATCAGTTCCAAGATAAAATAAGTACTTAAATTCCTAAAGATGGAATGTTCTCTGTGTTTGTCCTTTTGATGATGGTTTTGGCAGTGTGGTACTGTGCATACTTCCTGTGGAATGTCAGCTATTCAGAATCTAGTGGGAAGTTCTATTTTTATAGGTGTGTTGAGGCTTCTTCTAATGGAATACTTTTCCTTTTCTAAAAAGCAGAACAGAAAGGGCCATGCATTCTTAATTTCTTTTTGCTATTATTAATTTACCATTTTTATTCACATATCTGTCCATTGTTTCCAACTACAAAGTATTAATAGTCAGTTTTGCAAATAGACTCGGGAATCAGTGGGAAAGACCTCCATGAAAGTGAAGATATCTTCACAGCAAATACTGAACTGCTTGATTTTTTTAGAATCATGTTCCTCAAGGTCTGCCCCTAGCATGGTTTTTAGGCACACCTCAGCAACTCCAGGAGGCAAGAGATGTGGGTTTATCTGAAATCTGAGGGAAGGTAAGACGGTGAAGTAATGGAGCTAGAACTGTAATCCTCATGGGAGGGGCCTGAAGGCAGAGCCAGTGGCCTTCGGAAACAGAGCAGATCCAGTCCTTTCTAGGACTAATGGCTAAGAAGGCTTTGACAAGGGCAGTCATTTGAATATGACGTATATATTTTAGGAACTGCATGTCAGAAAAGATCTGTATTGTGTGTTTGGTGGGTAAATATACACAATGAAGTATAGAAACATCACACTCTTAAATAAATATTGTAAGAGAATTATTAAACTAAGACTTACTGGAAAGCCTGCTGACCCAGAATGGAAAGATTTAAGTTTCAGTCTCAGAGCTACCTGGGGCTAAACATTTTACATTCTTTTCTCTAAGCTTCATTTTTCTCAAATAGAATGAGGCCATGGACCAGATGAAAAATGTGTTAGACGTTTCTGAAGTTCTTTCTATTCTTTGAGGCCAGAATGCTTTTTGCATCCATTTGAGATTTCTGGTAGAATTAATGGAACTCCTGATGCCATTTTTAAATATTAGAAAGTTTCTTACGAGTCTTAACTATTGGAGAAAAATGGTATCACTGCATCTTTAAAAGGAACAATTTTTTTCCCTAGTAAACACACATCTTGGTATGTGAAGTACTTTTTTCCCCTCTGTTTTAAAGTGTTTGTGTTTTTGTCCCCAGATAAGAAATTCTGCTTGTTAAATCTGTGATAGATGCCTACTAAGAGCAAGATACTTTGTCTGATGCTTTAGAGAGGAAGAAAGCAGTGTTTTTGAGCATTTTAAAATAAATGTCCCATTTAGATAAATTCAAAAAGAAATACTCTTGAGAGAATCTGCTGTGCCTCCTCCTCCTGCCCCATTTTATCATCTACGTACTCGTCTGAAGTCCTGGTCAAGTTGCATGTTTTGTGGTTGTTAGGAAAATGTATATTTTTCATTTTTACAAATTTCAAATTATAATGCTAAAAATTTTCAGAATACACTCCTTATAGTGGGGAGCTGAACAAACACTTGGTGTGTAGTCACTCTGCACCAGTCACTAAAGATAACCTGATTGAAGGGAAGGTGAATGACCACTTTTTGCCTTCAGAAAAATATAACTAGCATTTTATCACATACTAGAATATTTTGGTTATGTAACCAACAGATCAGCAGAATTTACAACACACACACAAATATAACGAGTTTCATAGTGTCTGTTAAAACATCTGGTGTGTGCTTCTAGTCACTTGGTCATTTTTATGATAATTTGGTAAAATTCTATTATGCTGATAATACTCCCCAGTATTTCACAAGGCATATATTTTCCAGTGATTATTACTTCTTTTGGAAGGTGGAGGGCTGGTTTAATTTTTTTTTCTGAATACCTTTTGTTTTTATTCACAGAAAATTTTATCTGCCTTGAATAACCTACTAAGCATATTTCCTTTAATTTACATCTCTAGAACTCTGTAGATAACAAACAGTAATAGCAAAATAATTTCACACTCAGATCAAAATGTGAAAGCAGACTATGGAAGACTATTTTCTGTTGTAAAACAGTACTTGAGAGCAAGTCTCTAGGTTAAAGTCCTCTCAAGGGAAAGAAAATAAATCAATAATTATAGCATAGGATGCCTTGTGCCATGATATTTTCCTGCGTACACAGCTTGAAGAAAAGAGAGTGAAAGTGATGAACCCTGGTCTACTAACATCCAGGTTGATAGTAAGTCCCTGAATATGTAAGGTGTTGGTAAGAATAAAGTAAAAAGCTACTGTGGGCCCTCCATATCCTCAGGTTCGACATCCACAGATTCAACCAATCTTAGATCAAAAAAGCAAAACTTGAATTTATTACGGCTGGCAGCTATAACTATTTGCATTTTTTTAGGTATTATAAGTGAATCAAGAGATGGTTTAAAGTATTATGGAGAATATGTGTATAGTGTGGCGCTTCCCAGGTGGTGCTAGTGGTACCGAATCCCCCTGCCAATACAGGAGATATAAGAGATGCGGGTACACAGGAGACACAGGCTCGATCTCTGGGTCGGGAAGACCCCCTGGAGAAGGAAGTGGCACCCCATTCCAGTGTTCTTGCCTGGAAAATTCCATGGACAGAGGAGCCTGGCAGGCTATGGTCCGTGGGGCCGCAAAGCATCAGATGCGAATGAGCACATGCATATAGTATAAGATCATACTATACCACTTTATGAGGGACTTCCCTGGTGGTTCAGACAGTGAAGAATCTGCCTGCAGTTCAGGACACCTGGGTTTGATCCCTGTGTTGGGAAGATCCCCTGAAGAAGGGCATGGCAACCCACTCCAGTATTCTTATCTGGGAAATGCACGGACAGAGGAGCCTGGCAGGCTACAGTCCATGGGGTTGCAGAGTCGGACATGACTGAGCAACTAACACAAGAAAAAGTAAGATACCATTTTATATAGGAGACTTGAGCATCCTCAGATTTTGGTATCTGCTGGGGATTCCCACAGATCTTGAGAGATGACTGTAAAATCTGTCTGAAAATATTTTTTAGAACAAAGTTGAGTCTATGGAATTCTGCTTTTAGTTGGCAGTTTATATGCAAGAAACAGTCGACTTAAAATGGAGGGT